TGGCTGGCTGAGAGTCGCAGTGAATCTCGGGAAGAGGGGTGCAGGGCCCTAACTCCCCCACAATCCGCAACACCGAGCGCCTGGCCCCTCACTGCTCTTTCCTCACGCAGTCCCCGAGTTGGTGGCCCGCGGCGTCATCAGCAGGTGTTCCCCGTCCACGAGCAGAGAATCCTCAACCGGCTCATGAAGTCCTGGGTGCAGGCGATCTGCGAGGCCCAGCCCTTGGGTACGTACCCGCCGCCCGCTGGAGAGCTCGGTTACCCCCCATGGGAGGGGCCGGTGCTGCAGCGTCGCCATGGCGATGCCACCACTGCCGGGACCTTCCGGGGTCCTGATTCCAGGGGGTCAGGGGAGGGTCTGAAAAGGGGGATTTCCCCTCAGAGTTGCTAATAGCCAGTCCATACACGTGTTCCTTGCTGGACGTGCTTGAGCCGGACGTGCCCCAGCTGCGCACATGTTCCTTGCTGGACATGTCCCTCATCGGACGTGCCCCAGTCCATACATGTGTTCCTCGCCGGATGTGCCCCAGCGGCGCACGTGTCCCTCGCTGGCCGTGTCCCAGTCCATACACGTGTCCCTCGCCAGATGTGCCCCAGCGGCGCACGTGTCCCTCGCTGGTGTGCCCCAGCCGCGCACGTGTCCCTCGCTGGATGTGTCCCTTGCCAGACATGCCCCATCCATGCACATGTCCCCAGACAGACACGAGCACCCAGAAACCCAGACACTAAACGCAGCGACCCAGGAAAGTCGGTGCCCACTTTCCAGTGCCGGGATTCAGAGCCCGGCTCAAGGCACCGGAGCATCTCCTGCCCCCTCTCCGTCTGCCCCTGTGGCCGTCCATGGCCCCCACCTGGCTGCTGACTCCTGCTCTCCCCTCGGCAGACGAGATCTGCGATTACTTTGGGGTGAAGATCGCCATGTACTTCGCCTGGCTCGGCTTCTACACCTCGGCCATGGTGTACCCCGCCGTCTTTGGCTCCATCCTCTACACCTTCACCGAGAATGACCAGGTGCGCCGGGGGAAGGGCTGGGGGAGCCCCGGGAGATGGGGGGGGGGTCAGACAGTCAGGCTGGGAGCACTGCAGTGGGGCAGGGAACTGCGGTACTCGCTAGCACCCCCTTGGGCTGACGCTCAGTGCTGTGTCCATCTCCCCCTAGCCTACAAGGTGGGTCATTTCATTACGGGAGTGAGGACTCCTCGGGTCTATTCTCAGCACTGGGATACAGGAGGGCAGTGGAGTCTAGTGGTTAGAGCAGTGGGGACTGGGTGTCAGGACTCCTGGGTTCGATTCCTGGCTCTGCTGTTCAGTGCTTGTTATTTGTACCCCGTCCCCACCCGCCGTTTGCCCCCATGTCTGTCCCTCCCAGACCAGCCGCGATATCTGCTGCGTGGTCTTTGCCATCTTCAACGTCATCTGGGCCACGCTCTTCCTGGAGGAGTGGAAGCGGCGGGGGGCTGAGTTCGCCTACAAGTGGGGGACCCTGGACACGCCTGCCGAGTCCATAGAGGAGCCCCGGCCACAGTTCAGGGTGAGTGACGGGGGTGGGCAGCCCAGGGTGACCTGAAAGCCCCTTTGCCTGAAGTGAAGTCACTCCTGATGGCACCAGGCTAGTCCAGGAGCAGGGCAGCCGTCCGCAGAGCCGAGTTCAGGCCCTCGGCACCAGCAGGGATCCCAGGCTCCTTCAGCGAAGGCTTCCCATCAGCCAGTGCCCAGAGCTGCCAACACATCCTCAGCTGGTGTGAACTGGGGCAGCTCCCCGGAAGCCCCCTGAGCGGGACCACTTCACACCAGGATCTGAGGATCTGAGAGCTGGGCTGTGATGCTGACGGGAGCCAGCGAGGGGCAGGGCCCCCGTCCAGGTGGGCGGGAGGGCTCCAGGGCGTGGTGAGAGGAGACAGGAAGCTGTTAGCACGCCGGCATGTGTGTTTGCGTGCGTGTATGCACACGCGTGTGCACGTGGCTGGGAGAGTTTTCCTGGGCCCATGAGCGTGTCCGTGGACGTGTGTCCGCAGGAAGCTTTGTGCACGTGCGTGTGTAAGTTGAATCCCACCGCGCCTGGAAGGGAGACTGGGGCGCTCTGCGGCTGAGCTCCCCCTTCCTCCCCGGCACAGGGGTCTCCTGGGAATTGTGAGGCAGACCCCAGCTTGGTTGCTCCAGAATCCTGGCGGGATCTCCCCAGGTGCGTGTGGGGGGGTGTCTGGCCCATGGAGGGTCACAAGCTGCCATCTCCCCCTCCAGGGCATCAAGAGGATCAGCCCGGTGACCAACGTGGAGGAATTCTACTACCCGCCATGGAAACGTCTGCTCTTCCAGTGCCTGGTCAGCCTACCCGTCTGCCTCATCTGCCTCTCCTTCGTCTTCCTCGTCATGCTGGGATGCTTCGAGCTGCAGGTGGGTGACGCTCTCCCCGGCCCAGCCCCGCTGGCCGCTGCCAGGTGCCTCTCCTCCCGCCAGGAGCGGGCGCTAAATCCTCCACATTCCTGGGAGCAGCGCAGGGGCACCACGAACCCCTGGCTCCGTCACGATTCGGCCCGGCCTGCGTGCTGGTCTGCTCACCCGGGGGAAGTGGGGGCTGATGTTTGCTGAATGGGGCAGGGCGTGGTGAGAGGAGACAGGAAGCTGTTAGCACGCCGGCATGTGTGTTCGCGTGCGTGTATACACACGCGTGTGCATGTGGCTGGGAGAGTTTTCCTGGGCCCATGAGCGTGTCCGTGTGTCTGCAGGAAGGTTTGTGCACGTGCGTGTGTAAGTTAAATCCCACTGCCCCTGGGAGGGAGACTCTGTAGTGCTCTGTGGCTGAACTTGCCCTTCCTCCCTGGCCGGCCGGCCGGCGTCGTGCCAGCCCCACGCCCTGCTGGCTCCGTGTCCCCTTCCTAGAGCACGGGTTGGGCAGAGCCAGGTGCAGGTGCCATGCCAGCAGCTACTTACCACTCACCCTGGGGCTCCACCAGTGTCTCCGCGCCCTGCAGACTCCCTGGCCCCTGGGCTGACGTCGTCCCTGCCCCTCGTGTCCCCGCAGGAGTTCGTGCTGAGCATCAAGGAGCTGCCCCGGCTCATCCGCTTCCTGCCCAAGATCGCCTTGGCCCTCATCGTCACAGCCTGCGACGACGTCTACAGGAAGATCGCGTACTGGCTGAACGACATGGGTGCGTCATCGGGCGCCGGGGGGCCTGGGATCAGTCTGCAGCCACCGCGGCAACAGGGTTGGGACGTCAGCGCACTCCCAGCCCGCTCGGTCCCCCACGATCCGGCTGGGGCAGGCCAGCCAGCAGCCCCCAGGAAGGCCGTGACCCCATCCAAGCTCTGCTGACTCCAGTTGGGAGAAGCATTGGGGTTCTGGGGACTTCTCCAAACCCGCGTCCTCTGGGGTCAAATCTCCAGGCCCAGCGGCTCCTAGCGGGAGGTCCCGTCCTGCTGCAGGATCCGGGAGCCCGGCTGGGGCCATCCTGGTCATTTGCTGTCGTAACACGTCCACACTTGCAATCCGCTGCATGTCCAGGGCTTGGAGACGCTCCAGCTCGTCTCAGTGGCTAATCCGGCCTCGGGCATCCCAGTTCTCACCGGGGCAGGTGCATCCCTGCGGTCGGTGCTTGGGCCCAACGGAGCGCGGCTGGAGCCGGGAACGGAGAGTGCTGGTTACTCCTCCTTGGGGCCCTGACTCACCCTCCCCACCCCCACTCTCCGTTCACCCCCCACCCCACCCCCTGGCCTGAGTCTCTCGGTTCCCGTTCCAGAAAACTACCGGCTGCAGAGTGCCTACGAGAAACACCTCATCATTAAAATCGTCCTGGTAAGCTAGAGCGGGGTTGCTGCCGAGGAGGGGAGGGTGCCCTTGCTGGGAGCAGCCGCAGCGGTGCAGGGTGGCTACCGCAAGGAGCCGAGCAGCCGCCGGGAGAATCCTTCCACCCAGGGGACCCCAGCTCCGAGCAGCGACCACGTCGCCCCCTGCTGGTTGGCAGCAGTGACCGTACCAACCTGTGGCTTTCTGAGAGCGAGGGGAGCCTCCCTTTAGCTCTGGCTGCACACACCCAGTTTGTCAACCCCGGCCGCTGACCCCCAGGACCCCCCGCGCCGGAATCCCAGCAAGCCGCGGAGATCCCTGCTGGGCACCACCACCCCGGAGAGTTAAGAACAAGCGGGGATTCTAGGGCCTGCTTGGGACCTCAAGCTGCCCCCAGGCCTGATGGGCACAATCAGACGGGGGGGGCCTGGAGGCCCCGGAGCCCAATCCTGAGGGGAGGGGGGGTTGACTCGCTGTTTCACACTGACCCTCCCTCTTTCTCCCCGGCAGTTTCAGTTTGTAAATTCATACCTAAGTCTTTTCTACATCGGTTTCTACCTCAAAGACATGGAGCGGCTGAAGGAGGTAAGGGGTGTCTCCGCCCCGGGAGCCTGCGCCGGGCCGGGGAGGGGACGGCGGGGTCCCTGCGGTGGTAAATCCAGCTGGCGCTCTGGACCAAGGCCTCCACTGCAGCTCTGTGGCCCCCTCTGCTGGCACCCACAGCCCCCTGTCGCCTTCAGACAGAGCTGTGGTGCTGCTCAGACCCACGGCGTCTCAAGTCGGGCCCCCAGAATCACCGGCCCCTTAGGAAGAGAGGCCGAAACTTTCCATTGGCTCCCACTCCCATCCGCAGGCCGGGCCGCCCTAAGCCCTGCCTTGATTTGGGGTCTCAGTTGATTTCTCCTTTTCGTTGTCTCTCTCTCTCTGTGTTCGTCTGTCCCTTCCGCAGCTCCTGCTCATCTTCTCTCTCTCCCAAAGCCTCGTGCGTCAGCTCAGAGACGCTCTCCTTCCCTTCATCACCCTTCAGCTCCACCTCTTTCTCATCTCCTTTAAGGGCCTCCTGAGCTTTGGCTGGAGCCTGGCCGTATCCAAAGTAGGAGGGGTGGCGGGCGGGGGCAGGCTGTGCATGCCACCCACGGGCAGATTCATCCCACGCCATGGAAAGTTCGGCCGCGTGGGTCAGCCCAGCTGGCTGGACAGTCTGACCCTCCGCCCAGGGGAACAGCCGCGGGACCGTTCCGGTCTCACTGGGCGCAGGGGAGCCTTTGAAAGCAAAGGAGCAATAACACGGGGCTGGGGGGTGAGATCCGGGCCTTTCCCCTCTAGGGGGCACCAGCTCTGGCCCCAGGGCGGGGGGACTGGCTGGCTCGAGGGAGCAGGAAATGGGACATGGGGCCTTTCACTCTTAGGGCAGTTGGTTGCAGGTGACAGGGAAGGAGGCTCCGTGTCTTTTGCCTCAAGGGTCCCCGTTCTAATTACACCCATCGGCAGCAGACTGAAATTTGCCGTCCTGTGCCGGCTGGTTGGGCGGTCTGGTGTGATGAGTTTGGCGCATCACAGCGGCCAGCTGAAATTAAACCCTCCCCATCCCAGCAGCCTCTGGGGGGAGGCTGATCAACACCATACGATCAACTGCCACCCTGTGGGCCCCTTTCACTCAACTGTGGTGGGGTCGCTGAGCCCAGTGTGCACCCCCTGCTCGCCCCCCCCCCCACCTCCCTCCCTTGCCCCGGGGGCGGGGTAAGCCTCTGTAAAGTGGCTGCTTGAGCCCAGCCTTGGGGCGGTGCCGGCGGGATGGAGACGGGCAGGGGAGCGGGTTCCCCAGATGTGACCTGCCTTCCCGGCACGTCTGTTCCCTCCCCAGATGCTGGCCACGCTGCTCATCACCCGCCAGTTCCTGCAGAACATCAAGGAGGTCTCCCAGCCCCACCTCTACCGCAAGATTCAGCGGGGCGACCTGAGCCTGCAGAACATCCGCGACGTCTCCCACACCATCTTCCGCCTGCTCGCCCAGAGATACACGGCGCCAGAGCAGCCGGCCAGGCCGGGCCCCGAGCCTGAGGGGGCAGGCGAGGGGCCCCCGGGGGAGAAGTGCCTCAATGGGGGTTGTGGCGTCCCCGAGGAGGAGGAGGAGGAGAAGCGGGAGTCGGACTCGGAGGACGAGAGCGTCCTGGACTGCGGGCTCAAGCTGAAGAAGGTGAGCTTCATCGAGCGGGCCGAGCGCCGGGGCCGGGAGCTGGGTGCCATGGAGGACGCCAGCTTCCTGGAGGAGGGCAGCCCCACTATGGTGGAGAAGGGCATGGACCCCGCTTCCGTCTTCGAGCTAGCCGAGGACGAGGAGGAGAGTGAGGGGCCCTCCGGCAGCCCCCTCCCAGAAGCCAAGGCGCTGGCGGTGACCCTGCGGGCTCGGCGGGGCCGGGCGGCCGAAAGCCAGGAGGAAGAGGAGGAGGAGGAGGGCAGGAAGCGGAACCGGGCTTCCTGGATTGACCCACCGGAGGAGAACTACTCCCCCCACCTCACCCAGGCCGAGGTGGAGAGCTGCATGAAGAAGTACGAGGTGAGGGGCTGCGCTGGCCTCTCGCCCCGGGGGCTCCGTTCGAATCCTGCCTCAAGCAACAGGCGAGAGGAGTCTCAGTAATTGCCCCGAGTGCTCACGTCACAAAGCGCCCCTGGATCCACCCTGCTTGGTGCTCTCAGCGCAGGGCAGGATTGAGGGGCACCGGCAGAGCTCGGGGTTGGTGTGGGGGGGGGGAGCAGCCCAGGGCTGGAATTGCAGGGGGACTGTGGGTCGGGATCATGGGGCATCAGGGACTTGCACCAGCATGACTTGTCTCCCCCCAGGACACGTTCCAGGATTACCAGGAGATGTTCATCCAGTTTGGCTACGTGGTTCTCTTCTCCTCCGCCTTCCCCCTGGCCGCCCTGTGCGCCCTCATCAACAACATCATCGAGATCCGCAGCGATGCCTTCAAGCTGTGCACCGGCCTGCAGCGCCCCTTCGGCCAGCGGGTGGAGAGCATCGGGCAGTGGCAGGTAGGGAGTGGCTGGGCTGGTGGCCGGGTCCCCATCTCCGCAGGGCAGCGAGAGCCACCGGGAGGGTGGGCGCTCGTGTGAGAGCCCACGCATGGCGCTTTCAGTGCCAGGAGAGGCTGTAGAGGGTCCGGATCGTGGCCTGCTTTGTGCTGCCGGGGACTAGCCTGGCACAGGGGATCCCTGCATGGCACAGAGCTGGCACAGCCAGGCACCCAGTCCTGAAGATCTGTTACCCTTGGAAAGCAGAAGAGGAGCCCGGGTCTATTTGACGCGGCAGGAGCCGGAAGGCTCACCCCAGTGTCCTAGGCATCCTCCGCTTTCACCTCCCTAGTCTCCCAGGCTCTTTCAAACGGATACAGGACTGCGCTTTCCCCAGCGCTGTGCTGTGCTCCACTCCAGAGGTGGCTGCATGTCTCCAGCAGGAGACACGACCATGTATTCTCTGTCAAGAGCTGTCTGGCGGGAAACACGAGTTACTGTTTGTTAAGGATTCAGCACAGGCCTTGCCATCCCAGAGCGTCCCTCGGGGAAAATCCTGGCCTCGCAGCCTCTCTGCTTTGCTCTCTTCCTCAGGCTCCCGGTGTCTGGGGTGGCGACTTGACTCTCCAGATGGGTTGCTCTATGCTCTCGCCCCAAGCCAGGACCAAAAGACTTTTCAGCCCTGCTGGGCCCAGCCTTCAGCCCCGTTCTTCGCCAGCAGGCCCCAGCGGCAACAGCCTGTCCAGCTGCTGCTCCTAGGCTCCAATCATCCCCACCACCCAAGTCAGGTCTGCCCTCCTAGCCAGGGCCTCTGGCAGACGGGAATGATCAGACAGTGCCAGGCTCCCAGCCCCCGCCTCACCCAAGTGCTGGGCTGTCTTCCTCTTAAAGCCTACGCCCCCATACCGGTGTAGTGGGGTGAGGCTCGTCGACCAGAGTTGGCTGGCCCCAGCCTGCTGTTCCTTAAGGGGGCAGGCTGCCCTGTTACGTCTGATTCTATCCAATGACAAGCAGATAGGGGGACGGCTCAGCCTATCCCATAGGGCTGGAGCAAAGAGGTGCTGAGTGGAATCAAAAAGGCCCCAATTGATGACGACTAAAAATGAGGAAGCACTTGTTCAACCTGTGGAACTCACTGCCACAGGATGTTACTGGGACAAATACCTCACCAGGAGGAGAGAGTGCTGATTAAGGAGTTCATTGGCAGCGGCACGAGCTGCGAGCCCCCTGCTCCAGGGGACAAGCTGGGGAGCTCTCTATTGCCACGTTCGGTGCAGCTCAGGGATCTCGCGCCTTCCCCTTCAGCATCCGCAGGGACCGCACAAGACAATCTGCCACCCTCAGCAAAAGTTCAGTGTGTCTCCCGTGTTGTCCTAGGCCTAGGGCCGCAGATTTGGCTCGGCCATTCCGCCATCGTAACAGGGGGGCAGCCAGGCCAAATCTGAGTCCGTGGCGTTGTGACCTGGTACACAGGATCCCATGGCCACTCAGATTTGGCCCGGATGCCGCTCCAGGAGAGGGGCTTGGCGGGAGAGGCTGGGTTCCCAGCTTGGCGCAAGAGCCGGCCCGCAGGTGGCAGGGGTGAGTGGCGCGTCTCATCCCAGGATGTTTGTCTTGCAGAAAGTGATGGAGGCCATGGGCGTCCTGGCCATCGTGGTGAACTGCTACCTGATCGGTCAGTGCGGGCAGCTGCAGCGACTCTTCCCCTGGCTCAGCCCGGAGGGAGCCATCATCTCCGTGGTGGTGCTGGAGGTACGGAAGTGCTAGCAGGGCTGCAGTTTGTTATTGTAGGGTCTCTCATGAGTGCTGGGGCTGTGCATGTGGTTTGTTATTGTAGGGTCTCTGGTTAGAGCTGGGACTGTGTATGCTGCTTTGTTATTGTAGGGTCTGTCACTGGACCTGGAGCGGTGCATGGGCTTTGTTATCGTAGGGTCTCTCGTTGGAGCGGGGCTGCGGCTGTTTGCTTAGCACAGACCGGCACAGCATTTGCTTGGGCGGGAGGGGGGCAGCTCAGAAGAACTGCTCCGGGTTGGAATCAGAGGGCGAGGAACCCAGGGGGCCGATCAGATTTCAGGCTTCTAGCTCCATGCTGGCACGGCCAAGACCCTCCCCACAGCTCTCTGCCTGTCTCCTCCCCACAGCACTTTGCGCTGCTCCTGAAGTACCTCATCCAGGTGGCCATCCCTGACATCCCGGCCTGGGTGGCGGAGGAGATGGCGAAGCTGGAGTATCAGCGCAGGGAGGCCTTCAAGGTGAGTCTGGCTCCCAGGGGTCGAGCGTCCGCAGCTCACCCGCACCCCAGCTGCCCCGGCTGGGCGCGCGGCGCAAGCGTGGGGGTGTCTCAGCCTAGACGTCATGTCCCCAACCCCTCCCCTGTCCCCTCGCTGGTCGTCTCATGGATCCTGCACAGTCACTGGCCTGCCCTCTGGGTGCCGGCCCGGGGTGATGCACGTCAAGGAGCAGCGTGGAGGTTGCTCTCCCTGCCACGGCCCCTCTTCTGCAGAGTCACCCCTGCCCGGGGCTGGAGGCACCAAAAGCCCAGGGGAGAGGCATGTGGAGCTGCGCCGCGACGAGCAGGAGGCGCCCCAAACCCCCTGACGTCCCAGGCCCCTGCCACTAACCGGCTGCTCCCCCCTTCCCCAGAAACACGAGCGACAGGCACAGCACCACTACCAGCAGCAGCAGCGGCGCAAGCGGGAGGAGGAGGAGCGGCAGCGGCAAGCCGAGTACCACGCCCGCAAGGAGCGCGAGACCAGCCGGGACGAGGGGAAGCCCGAGGCTGCCGGGCAGGACGCCGGCCACGAGAAGAGCCAGGCCAAAATGAAAGGGGCCGGCAGCTTGTCCCACAGCTCTGAGAAGCCCAAGAGGCCCAGCTCCCTGCTGGCCACCAACAACGTCATGAAACTGAAGCAGATCATCCCACTGCAGAGCAAGTTCCTGTCGGGGGGCGGCGCCGGGGCAGCCAGCACCGCCACGGCCCAGTCCCCGACCGGCAGCGAAAACAAACTGCCCGGCTTTCTGAGCTTCAAGTTCCTGAAGTCGCCGGAGACTAAGAGGGACGGGGGCACCGAGAAGGTCCAGTCGCCCACCAAACCGTTCAACCCGGGCAAACTGTTCAACTTCGGCAAGTCCGAGGGGGCTGGGGGAGGTGGGGGCAACGGTGCCGCCGTCGTCCCCCCGCCGCAGCGGTCCGGCCCATCCTCGGAGGGTGGCGAGAAGCAGCCGCCCAGCAAAGCCCACCTCAATGGGCTGGTGGACGAAGGTGGCGTGGAGGAGGGTGAGCTCAGAGCCGAGGAGGAGAGCACAGGCCATAAACTCTAACCGGGGAGGAGCCGGGGATGGCGGGCAAAGGAGCCACGGATCCCGGGTCTGTTCTTCAAGCAGAATTAGGAGGTGCCCAGCCTGGCGTGGGGCTCTTAGGACACCTGCACCCCCCTGCGCCAGCAGGAGAGTGGAGGTGGGTGCAGAACGTGAGCGGTGACCTTCCCATCCCCTGCAGCACGGGAAAGCAGAGCTCGGGGGCTGGGGTGCCTTGGGCCTTGAGACAGGCAGCTTCTGCTCCCAGCTTTGGTGACGAGATCGGTGGCCTCAACTCAGTGCCAAGAGGCAGTTCAGCATCCTCAGGAGAGGGGCGGGAGTGGAATCGGGGTGGGGGGGGCAGGGCGTCACCAGAGCCCAGGACTGGAAAACTAGCGGGGGGCTACGCGTTGGGGGGTGGAACTGCGTTGCAGGGGGGCCCATGACACACACATCCGAGTGACTGCACAGAGCAGTGCCTGTTGAATATCGAGGGGGATTGGGGCTGGAGTAGCAGGGGGCTGTGGGTTGGGAGTGAGGGGCATTGGTAGAGCTCCGTGTGTGCAGGGGGAGGTCAGGGCTAGGATAGCTGGGGGGCTGAGGGTCGTGCCTGAGGGGCAGCAGCAGGACCACAGGTGGATTTTCCCCCTTGAGCACGGGGAGGAGGGGGGGTTTTCTCCCCTGTCTCCTAGCTGAGCCGGGACCCGCTGGGGCTCTGGGCACAAAGGGCGGCGGGCGGAGTATGGGTGCTGTATGTGCATGTTCCCCAAGCGCTCCCTGTGGGGAATCTGCCCTCATGCAGCACCCCAGAGCCAGGCACAGAAGCTGGCAGTGCAACCGGGGGCAGCCTGAGCTTAAAGCCGGAGGGGTGGGTCAGGCAGATGGGGCTGGGGAAGCAGCGGCAGCAGCAGCCCACAGCGACCTGCCGCTCAGGTGCTCAGCTGGGCTGTGCTCAGAACTCCTTTCCCCTGCGTCCCAGGGTGAGTCAGGCTCCCAGGACGGACTCTCCAAAGCTCCCTTGGCTCTGGTGAGCCCCTGGCATCACCTGCGCGGGGAGAAGGGTATCCCCTTTCCTGCCAGCTCTGTCCCCCTGACTGCAGGCGTTTGGCCTGGTGTTGCTACTGCAAACACACACCAGAAGGGGGCGCTCCCTGCCTGCATCCTGGTAGGACTCAGCCTTTGTTGCCACAGCTGCCCCAACCCCTGAATCTGGCCCCTGTGCTCAGGTCCTCCTCAAGCCCTGCTACCCTGGCGCCAACGTCGCCCTGACGGCCCGCTGGTGCGAAGGGTGGGCAAAGTGCCCAGCGCCCCAGGCAACAGCTGGCGATGGGCTGGATGAGCTAACGGGCCTTTCACGTCCCTAAAGTCCAGGGTGGCATGAACGGGGTTGGCACCACACCTGCCTGACTCGAGTGGCAGCCATCCATCAGCCGGGGGACGGGGATCGAGCTCAGGGGCCATCCTTGTCAAAGTCTCTAGTCCCTTTGGCCCAGCTGGGGATGGACAGCAAAGGAGTCACGAGCGTCCCAGCTGGGGGAGCACGGCGGGCGGAACAGAGTGGGCGAGCCCAGGAATGAGGGGGCCTGGGGGCATAGGCCTACAGGGGCAATGTGGAGGCAAAGATCAGGGGGAAGGGGAGGTGGGTCACCACTGAATCACTCACCCCTGTAGTCTGACCAGGAGGCAGCTGGCAGAATCCAATCGGCACTGGGACATCTTTCTGCTTGAAGAACAGAGCGAGGGGTGGGGCAGCGAATTTGAGCCACATAATTTCCATGCATGGTCGACATTTCTTGCACTAAAAGACCCCCTCAACCTAACAGACTCTCTTCCGTTCTTCTTTAGACAGCTTAAAAGGCGGAGGCAGGATTTGCCTCCCCAGCGTCTGCAAAATGTTGAGCTTTACGGTTTCCAGAACAAAGAGCGCCCTGTAGTTATTGCTTCAGATTTCCATTGGCAGGGAAGAAGGGTATCCAACCCTCAGTGACTTTGGAAGAACTGGGACATTCCCCCCCCCCCCCCGCCCCAATAAGGAGCTTGCACATAAACGTCATGGCAGACTGGGGAAAGAATCCGCTCAAGGTGGGGGACTCAGTGGGGTGGGGAAGGATCAATAACCAATGTTCTTAGCAACCAAATAATTGCAGGGTCTGTGGAATTTGGGGTGGGCGGGAGGGTTGTCTTCACTTCAGCAGCGGGGAAGTTTTTGCCAGAGTTAGTTTATAGTTGTAGCTAGTGCTTTAACGACTGAAATCTCAGAGGGTGGCTACGAGCTCTGCAGATCACCCAGCGTTTCAGCAACACTAGGATTAGTAATCGAGCTTTCAGTCTTCTAGGGCTAGTTCCTTTCGTTGACAGGTCAGTGGCTGATCCACTTCTCTGCTTGTGGCTGGCTTAGCTTTGCGATTTAGTTTCGGATGGGGACGGAGGAATCTTTGAATATTTACCATAGGAATGCTGTACGAGGAGGAAGGAGCTGGGGACTCGGCAGGGCAGGAAAGGAACTGCCAAGGACTGTCTATAGGACCATCACGCCGGGTGGTGGCAAGGGACACCATCCACCAGGCTGAATCTGGGGACTGATAGGCGGGTTTACTCTCGGATGTTTTGGATTATCTCTTTTTAAAGATGTCAATGGTCCCTCGGCTGCTTTATCATAGGAAGGAGACAAGTCCAGAACCTCTAGAAGTGCTGTCCCTGCCCAATGCATGCCCTCAGCAACCTGTGTTCTCTGATGCACACTGACACTTGAATCACTAGACGTGCAGAGCATCTGGAACTAACATTTCTGGAAGGGGACATGCCCCCAACGTCCCGAGCAGAGAGATGGCGCTTGGCTGACCCAATCTCTGACATCCAATCTTTAGCGTACAAGTAGGGGTTTGAAAGCAGCCAGTCTCCCCAAGTAGAAAGGACCTGGAGTTCTCAGAGTGGGTCCTCCAATGGCTTGTTTGCAGCTCCGTCTTCTGCAACTGGCCCAGTACTGTGACATTCCAGGCCTGGGGATACCAGGAGATATCTCCCAGGTCCGGAGTCTTAGGAAACAAGAGTTTGGGTTTTTTTAATTCTTCCTCCACAAAAAATGGTGTTTTTGTCTTATAACCAAGCCATTCTGTAGCAGCAATAAAATAGGCCAAGGTGCGTTGAGGATCTAACCGGAGCCAGAGAGACGTAACACAGGCTGGGGTGGTGAAAATTTCCAGCTAGGGCTCAGCCCTCTCTCACCTTCCACTGTCTAATGGACAAGAAGGGAGAGAATCCGTGTGTAGAAAATACCTCTGTGCTACCAGCCACAAAGGCTAGGCAGGGTGCAGAGGCAATAGATGGTGAAACTGCTATGATTACGTGCCGTTACTCAGTTTATTTGGTCGCCTGGTGAATGGATGTTTAATGCAGCCGCATGGGGGCCTAGTGTTTCCTTAAATGCGGGTAACCCTGGTATCTCCTCTTTGTAAGATCAGACAGGGCCGGGTCATGCTGCTCGGAGCCACGAAAAGCCTTATGGACATAAAGGCTGGGGCAGAGTTAGTTGAAGAACAGGGAGGGGAATCCCCTCCAGTTCCGTGCCTGGATTTCCCTTCCTCAGAGATCTGCCAAGAACCTTCGGATCTCTCCCCTGCCCTCTTCGCAGCCTTGATCATGGCCGTTCTCTTCTCGCAGAGATGGACTAGAAGGGGCCTCTCTCCTGGGGCGGTTATTATTGAGCAACTCAGCATCTCTTCCCCCTACCCCCCGGCTGTTGAGTGCGCTGCTCTGTAGCATGTCAGCCCAGGGACGCGGGGCTCCCTGGCATCGTGTCAGCAGACGCGTCCTGGGTCCCACGATAGATGTCAGAAGCCATGACTGTCTCAAACCGTGGTGCTTTGGGGTGGGGTGGGGGGATACAGGGTCACATGAAGAAAAATCAGGACAACCCCAGAAAGAGCAGGAAAGATGGGAACTCGGGATTCCAGGGGGCCAAGCGGCCGTGGTGACTGGGCATCAGAAATCCAGTGGGTGCTGGGAACAGCTGCTGTATCAACTTCTCCTGGCTGCCAGAGGCGAGGGCAGTACCTGTTCTGCAGACAGCATGTTGGCATCTCTACCTGCCCCCTCTCAGCTGCCATGGAGTAGCAGCTAGAGAGCAGAGTGGTGGCAGCTGTAAGGTGGGGAGAGAGCACCCCCCCAACCTTACATTACCGCAGAGAACCTTCCAGGCACCCCAACTCCATCCCAAGGCCAAGGGTGGGATGGAGGAGGAACCTAAGAGGCCTTTTCCATCTGCCTCTGCTACACTCGTAGGAAATGCTTGTCACTAGCTTATTCCTCTGCTGTCAGCGGTGCTGATCCCCTGCCAGCAACTGGGTTTTGTGGCCCTACAGAAAACCTAGGCCCAAATCTTGCCCTGCCTTCCAACCTCTTTGACCCCACCAGGGCAGGCTTTGACCCTAGTTGTACTAAATTAAGGTCTGGATGGCACCAGAGGTGGCAAGGTTCCTCCCAACATTCAGTTTCTCTGATGACCCAACTCTGATGGCCATTATACACACCCAACATTATCACCTTTCCAGAGGGAGATCATCTCCTCTTTGGGGGTCCCAAGGATTCTCCAGCCCTCCAATTATTTTCCACTGCTTTATATGCTTCACCCCCCCCAGGAGCGGAGAGCTAGGCAGAAACCCTTCCACAGCTGGAGGAGCTGCTCTGCAACGGCGCAAAGTCATTCCTCAACTTCTTGGTGCCACAGGCAGTTCAAGGCAGGAACCCCAACGTGGCTTTATTATGTTCAAACATCATTTTAATTTGTTTTTATAAATTATCCACATTCAGTTTGTCGAAGCCAACTCTTGGGTTTGTCATTGTTTAAATCACGCTGGTCTTAAAAGGAGCAAACTCTTATTGACTATGTTCACATGAGAGTAACACTCCTGAACCTATATCCTACAAGCTCCACTTACCAGGCCCCCAGCAGTCCAGGGAATTTTTAAAACATGTTTATCTATAAACGTATTTATATGAGCATCTGGCTGTCTGGTGTCTTTCTTTTCCTGGGCAATTACTGTACAAAGAAGGAAATTTTTTTTTTTTTTTTTGCTGTTTTATTTCTTTCAATTGAAATTTTAAAAAAATAAAGGGATTATTTATTTCTTTTTAATTTGTCATATTTTTGTAAAACCTGCAGAAATGCAATAAAAATATATTTCAACAAACGTGGGTATTGCTATCTGCTGAATCGACTGGACAGTTTGCAGGCTGCGTCGGCTCCGGGGAATCACTTCTCCCGGTTTCTGGTCCTATGCACTGTTTAGTGGATGTCTCCCGTGTCACCAATAGCTTCCGCCATGGGAGGATAATAAACACAGGATTAGCAGATGTAAGGGCAGAAGAGACCCTGGCGATCATCTCACCTGACCTGCACAACGCAGGCCATAGGTTTCCAGGTATGTGCCCGTACGGGAGATGGGGAAAAGGTGTGAGTGTCTGAGAAGTCACACGGTCTGCCCCAAGGGTTCCACTCACCCTGTCTCAGTTTCCCCAGCTGTAAAACTAGGGAGAAGAAGGAATCTTACAAGGCCCAGGACCTGATTTTCCCCTCAGGAAGAGGCAAGATGTGAGACATGATGTTCTGTGCCCCCCCTTCCCTAGTGATGTCAAACACAGCAGGACCAAAGAGGAATCGGTGCCAGGCAGCCATGGGCCTTGCTCCTATCCTGCCCCAAGCAGTGAGAACACAGGGCTAGAAGCCAGGACTGCCACCCCCAGCGGTTCAAAAATCATGAGTCTAGCCCCCACAAAACCACAAGATTGCCTTAAAAATCATGAGATTTTAACATCTCACACGCTGGGTTCTGGTTATTTGCCTCCTGGTGACCAAGCCCTTTTTTTGGGGAGGGGGGCAGTCTCCCCCATTAGGGGCTGGAAACATTTGTTTGGCATATGAAATCAGAGATCCTCCCCACGCCACCACCACCACAAACCCCCTGACTCCAGGAGCTGGGGCTTAAAGGGAAACACCAAATCACTCAGGAGTTGGCAACATTGACCTCTCCCCCTCCCCCCCGCCACTCTCTCATACACAGCCTATTTGGGCCAGGGAAGGGGCTACCCCCACCCTGGACTGGCAATGAGGACATCCCCTGGGTGGGATGGACTGACCAGGCCCTGCCAGCTCCAGCTGGAAGGCTGCCAGTCCCTCAGCAGCAGGTCACCAGAGGCCTCTGGCCAGGCCCTCAGCCTGGCACAAAACACACAGCTCCATTCAACATAGCACTGGAGGCCAGTGAGCAGCCGGCGGCTCCAATCACCTCCTCCATGCACTCGTAGGGCATTCCCTCACCCAAGGGCATAGCGTAAAGGCCTCTGGGACCCATAGCTTGCCACGGCTGGCTAAGGGCAGCACAAAAGACTGAGGGATGTGTAGTTCACAGGAGCAGGCCAAGCTGATACTTTGTGACCTCCAGCAGGTGGCTTAGTGATCCCGGGGGCAAGGTGGGGCAAATGTATCCCTTCACTTTTGCAGCCTTTGGCTGCACTTCCCCATCTTTCCGCCCCTGCCGACGAAGCCACATTAACTGTGATGGTGTTGCAGAAGTTACAGGCTTGGGCATGGAAATGTGCCCCAGGGATGAGGTTGCCTCCCCCTATACCACGGAACAGTTAAATCCACAGTAGGCCCGGGACCGTAAGAGCTCTCTGCATCCTCCCTAAGAGGAGGAGGCACCACCCCAGCCCCAAGGAATACAGGGACAATAGCTACCTTGGAAATGTAAGTTGTTCTATAGCCCACCAGCACTGCTTGGGCTAGTGGACCAGTCCAGCAGGCCACTAGCACCACCAGACAGTGGGGCAGACTGGGATGAGCAACCATTGAGAAAGGCATGAAGTTATCCTGGTGACTGTTCTATACCTTCCAAATAAATGAGTAAAACAGTGCTTCCTGCCTCTTCCATCTGAGAAGCAGGTTATAAAACTGCTATGAATATGCTAGGAGGAGAGAAGGGAATGCAGGACCTTGTTTACTCGACAAAAGGGGTAGGAGGAAGTCACAAGATATACTCACAGTGCATGACTTCTACCTGTGAGATAAAGGGGTTAGCACACTGGTGATCTAGCTTCAATTCCTCGATTGTCACTAATGAAAAATAAAGTATGAGCGGTCACCTTCTACAGCTAACAAGGAAAAAACGGATCTGGGACGAAGGGCAGTTTCTGCCCTGCTCCAAGTGCCATTTCTAACTCTAAAGCAGGGCACTTGGAGCATGGCATTTCTAGGGGCCTTCACCCCCCCACAAAGAAAAGTAATAATTAAAGCTGGGGGGAGAACAGAATGCTCTTTCTGGAGGATTTGTAATCGGTTCTCCTTTTGATTGAAAATTGAAACAAATTTCAAAGTTTTCAGCAAAAAATGTACACAGAATTATGTTTTAACATAAGAACGGCCATAGCAGGTCAGACCAATAGTCCAATAGCCCGTCTTCCAACAGTGGCCAATGCCAGGTGCTTCAGAGGGAGTGAACAGAACAGGTAACGAAGTGACCCATCATCCACTCCCAGCTTCTGGCAAACAGAGGCAAAGACTAATACAAGAACTAGGGGTCACCCAATGAAATTAATAGGCAGCAGGTTTAAAACAAATACAAGGAAGTTCTTCTTCACGCACAGTCAACGTGTGGAACTCCTTGCCTGAGAAGGTTGTGAAGGCTAGGACTATAACATGTGTTAAAA